TCCCCTACTTATCATATGGGGGGGTGGTTAAATTAGCTCCTAGACTACAATGAGTAGCACCCTAAGGAGTACCGTACAACTCCTTTAGGGTTGGTACGGTATTTGTATCCCATCGCTGCTTGTGCACATCATGCAGCTGTTCATACTTTGAGAGAATACGCCCTTACCTACACTGACACATGATATACATCGACCTCATTTTACGAGAAGGCGAACATGACCGCAAAGCGAATCATCTTGAACAAGGTAATTACAACGCCCTTATATCCCTCCGATTATGTGCCGCTACAGGAGATCGGGCGGCCTAGTGTTCAATGAATGCTCAGAACCATACAAAAGCGCACGCCAAATTGCGAAACATACCAATTTGGACATCATGAGACCATTTTGTGGCGCCAAAAACGCAAGGGCGCGAATGGGAGCAGCGGCCGAATTCGATCGAAGATTATTCGACCTTCTTGTGGCGTCGGGAGCGAGTGGGAATGATGGACAGCAGCACGTTGAGAAGAATGGGGACGACGGTGCCCATAAAGAAGAGCGACCGCCACACCGCTATGGTCTGCCCCCATTGCAGCACCTGGGGGGTGTGGAGGCAATGAAGGCAATGAAGGGGACACCGATATCTGAGTTCACGGAACTGGGAGCGGATGAATGGGGCGAGGAAGGGGAGAATGCAAAACTTGCAGCACCTGGGGGGGAAGTCAATGCAACGACGGGGAATACACATGGATAGGAAAGGAGCGGATGGGGTGAGGAGGGATGGGAGAGGAGGGACGAGAACAGGAAGGCAGTGGAAGCAAGGTTTCACAGGAAGCGAGAAGGTGAAGCAATTTCATGAAGGTGAAAGTCCTACCAGGAGGCCAGATGGCAGACATGGTTCACGATGAGCTGCTTGAACACGGGGAAGGCAGGCATGACGTACCTTACCTTTCCCTTTCCCTTTCACTTTCACTTGCCCTTCGTCCTTTGCTCACCAGGAAGCCAGCATTGGAGTAGTTGATGATGAGCTGCTTGAACACGGCCTGCACCACGTCAATGGTGACCTTCACTGCTGCTGACTGCTTCGGGAACGCTGCTGCCGTGTGCCGGAACACCTCTGCGGTGTTACGTGCCGCGCCATGCCATGCCATGCAACAACATGCCATTCCATGCCACAAGGAGACACACGAGGGGGCGTGCAAGGGACGTGCGTTAGGTTAAAATAGTTGGAGCGAGAAAAGAGCGAGTGAGGATTCCCAACAAGGTCATGAAGCTGGATGCTACTTAGAGGAGACAAAAGGGGGAAACCCTAGAGCCCTCTAAGCAGCGCAGAGAGTAAAAGGCAAGGCACGAGAATCTTCCAGTGGCAGAGACACAGGCAGTTAGGAGACGTACGCTTGGAGGTGTGTTGGCCGATGGCGGCGTTGACAAAGAAGAGGTAGTAGCCGGGGTGAAGACCCTGGGAGGGGAGGGAGAGTGGCGGAAGAAGGGATGGATGAGGGTTGGATGGGGGATGAGGTTTGGATGGGGGATGCGGGACTGACCAGCCGATGGCGGCATTGAAAAAGAAGAGGTAGTAGCCTGGGTGAAGACCCTGCAAGGAGACGGAGGGGGGCGAAAGGTGTATGGGTACAAGGGGGTGGAGTGCGGTAGGACTAAACCAGCCGATGGTAGTGCTGACAGTGACAAAGAGAAATGGGGTGCAGATTGTGCAGAAGAGGAGGGAGTGGAACACGAGGGAGTGGAATGCGGTGGGTCTGGAGAGCTTATGGCAGCGCTGACAGACTGTGGAAGAGAGAAAGAGATGGTAATCAAGGTGCTGATTGTGGGACGAGCTGTTCTAGAGCCGGCTCAAACAGGCGAGGATTCAAGCAACAGGCAGGTTGACAATGAAGGCCCAGTAAGTGGGGAGAAGAGCTCTAGAGTCAACTCAACAAACATCGTGAGACGACTCACATGCCAGAGCGCAGAGACGACTCACATGCCAGAGCGCGGAGACGACTCACATGCCAGAGCGCGGAGACGACTTGAGTGAAAACGAGCGTCCACATGGTGGGCTTGCCCGAGCGAGGTGTCACCCGGTCGTACACGTCTGAAGGGGGAGGTGGAGAGAGTGGGGGGGAAGACCGGGGGAGGTGGGTGGGGAGGGGAGGTGGAGAGAAGGGGGAGGGAAGGGAAAGGACCTCCTTTCCTGCTTTCACCCTCGTGTTCTCACCTACCCATCACTGCGCGCTCCCATTCCCATGCACTCAACCCCAAAGTCCCACGGACATCCTACATCCGAAATCCTAAACCTAAGAGCACGTGATCTCTGAATGTTTGCAGCCACGTGCTGACGCCCATGATCCAGTAGGCATGCAGCCCAAACGCGCAACTCTAAGCCCAAACGCGCAAATCTAAGCTAAGCCCAAGGAAGACTCCCCTAATCTCAACCCAGAGAACCCACGCACAGGTGCGGAGCCACGTGCCGACGCCCATGTTCCAGTAGGCAGGCATCTGCGCCAGACTCGTGGTGATCTCACACTTGATGAAATTTGCGTTCTCTGCCCGGCTCCTGGAGGGATGGGGAGTGGCCGGAAGGGAGGGGTTGGGGAGGACGGTCAAGATATGTGAGAGCTGTCAGGTGGATCGAGAGACACATCAACGTGTAGGCTCGCGGTGATCTCACACTTGATGAAATTGGCGTTCTCCGCCCGGCTCCTGGAGGGTGGGGGGGTGGACGGAGTGGAAGGTGGGGCGGCATGATGTTTGGGAGATGTGGAGACGTTCAAGTGGATGGGAAAGGGCGAGGTGTGGGATGATAATAACCAACAATGAGAATGAACAGCCATACGAGATGCGACCATCTTTTTTCATCCGAGAGCAGGCATCAGAAATCGGCCTACGCGATGAAACACTTAGCTAATTCACCAGAGAAAACAGCAAATGTAATCACGGGAGCGAGGCGAAGGAGTCAGTCCGAGTGGGCTTTAAATACTCTCAAGAAGCACCCTCAACCACATCGGTTTTTAATATTCTGAAGAAAAACCCTCGACCACATAGGTTTTAAACATTTTCAAGCAGCACCCTCAACCACATCTCAAACACTTTCCGAGTCGACTGGAGAACGAGTCGGTCCAGCCGGAGAAGCCGAATCCAGAAAGAGCAACAGCAGCCTCTACCACTTTCCTAGTGGATTCTATAATGAGATCTCGGAACTCACCAGTCGGGGCGCGAGGGGGAGGAGTCGGTCCAACCGGAGAAGTGAGATGCAGAAAGAGTAACAGCACCCTCTACCACTTTCCAAGTGGATTTTATAATGAGATCTCGGAACTCACCAGTCTGGACGTGAGGAGTCGGTCCAGCCGGAGAAGCCGAATCCAGAGAGGATCACAGCAGCCTCTGCCACACTCCAGATGAAGTAGTAGGAGCAGCGGAAGCAGATGCCCGCCACCACCAGGCAGAACCACCTGTGGGATGCAGTGCGGATCAGAACAAGGGGACGGGGTACAGAGAGACAGGTGGGAACGGGTGTGAAGAGATGAAGTAGTAGGAGCAGCGGAAGCAGATGCCCGCCACCACCAGGCAGAACCACCTGTGGGGCAGAGGGGGTTGGGACCAGGAGACGTAGGAGAGAAGGGTGGGTAAGGGTGGGTGGGAGAAGCGCAGAGATGAAGTAGCAGGAGCAGGGGAAGCAGATACCCGTCATCACCAGGCAGCCCCACCTGTGATGTGATGTGAGGGGAGATGGACGAGGATTTTCTAGTCAACTCATAAGCCACCTGACCTGAGCATCGGAAGCAGATACTCGCCCTTACCGGGTGGCCCCACCTGTGATGTGAGGGAAAGGAGGTGGGGATTTTGTACGAAGGGATGTGGGAGAAGGAAGAGGAGGGGCGGCAGGGAATCAGGAACAGACGGGAATCGGGAACTCCACTTCTTCACCCCGCCTGCGCTGCGTATGGCAGTGGCAGAGTCTGTGGCAAGCAAATATCATCCGAAGGCTGACGCTGCTGATGCTGCCAGGCCGCTAGTGCTGCAAACGCTGCTTAGCCCTGCACAGACTCATGCAAAACCGTAGGTGAGGAAGCGGGGCTGGAAGAGCAGGGCGGGGCCGAAGTGCTGAGAGAGGAAGTGGTGCATCGCCAGGCAGATGATCGCCTTCCCCAGCGCCTGCGCTGCATACGGCAGCGGCTCCGGCATCTTTCGCAGCTTCCCCTCGCCCTTGCTCTCGCCCTGCGCCCTGTCCGCCTCCCCGTTCCCGTTCTGCGTCAGCTTCCCCTCCTCCCCCTTGCTGGTATCAGCTGCCTTGCTTGGCACCACGGCTCCAGATGGCGACCATAGCTGGGGGAGGCACGGTCGCACACAGGGTTGCAGGTACAGTGGCACAGGGCAGAAGGGCGCGAGTGAACAGAGGGGATAGGGCAGCGTGCATATGGCCGTTCGACTCAAACACCACTCCAGCACACTCACTTCCTCCCTCCACCCTCCCTGCACTCACCCCTTACGCAGTGGCGTACGTCTGGTACTGCTTCAGGTTATACACGGACCCCACCAGCACAGCGCCAGGGAAGATCACACAACACCCCCACCTCGTCTCCTCCCTCCCATCACTCGGCAGCATATGCCTGGTACTGCTTGCAGTTAAACACGGGCCCCACCAGCATGGCGCCATTGAGTCGTCTCACGTCTTCCTTCTCCCTTCATTTCCTCTCTCTCCCCCCCCCCCCGGCACTCACCCCTTGCCCAGGGGCGTACGACTGGTACTGCTTGCAGTTGCACACGGGTCCCACCAGCACGGCGACGGGGAAGAACACAGAACATTCTCACTTCTTCTCCCCCTTTCACCGCACTCACCCCTTGCCTAGCGGCGTACGCCTGGTACTGCTGCTTCAAGTTGAACACGGGTCCCACCAGTAAGGCGTTTGGGAAGAACACACAACGCCCTCACTTCATCTCTCCCTTCTCCTGCACTCACCCCTTGTCCGGGAACATACACCTGGTAGTGCATGAAGGCCCCTTCTAAGGCAGCTCAAACTCACCCCTTGCCCGGAAGCATACGCCTGGTACTGCTTCAGGTTGAACACGGGTCCCACGAGGGCGGCGCCTGGGAAGAACACGAACGACAAAAACTCCACCACCGACGGCAGCCGCGCCAGCCTGTTGCTGTACATGCGGTGCTGCGCCTGGGGGAGGGAGAAGGGGAAGGGGGAAGAATGTGGGTGGACTGTTGCATGTCCCGAAAGTGGCGCGCCAGCCTGTTACCTTGTTACAATGATTGCGAACTACCTTATCCTTTGGCAGCGCGCCATCCTGGTAATCACGGTTCAGCCTCAATCCTCCAGCACAAACACCATGAGCATTTCCAGCCGTCTTACTGGGTTACCTTGTAACAACCATCGCGGAGCATACCCTGTCGTCCGGCAGTGCGCCGTCATTGTACTAGTCCATGTCACAGCCGGCGATCTTGAGCGTGAACACCATGGGCGCGCCAGCCTGTTACCTTGTTACCACCGCAGAGCATACCTTGTCCTCTGGCAGTGCGCTCCATGGCACAGCCAGAGATCTTGAGCGTGAACACCATGAGCGTCCAGCCTTGTTACCATGTTATCATTTACCACACTATCGTGTTACCTTGTTACCACCGCAGAGCATACCTTGTCCTCTGGCAGTGCGCCTTCCTGGTAGTCCATGGCACAGCCAGAGATCTTGAGCGTGAACACCATGAGCGTCCAGCCTTGTTACCATAATATCATGTACCACACTATCGTGTTACCTTGTTACCACCGCAGACAATACCTTGTCCTCCGGCAGCGCGCCGTCCTGGTAGTCCATGGCGCACCCAGAGATCTTAAGCGTGAACACCATGAGCGTGCCCGTGAAGTCCACGCCTCCCTGCCTCCACACGTCCGCTCCCAGGTTGCTTATGTGACTGAAGGGTTCATGCAAGAAATGCGCAGTCACAGATTCCAAAGCCCATTTGGTTGAGACGTTTCAAAGCGAATCGACCTCCACAAGTCCGCTCGCAGAATGCTCGTGTACCTTTCTGGTTCACGCGAGAAAGTGCCTGTTCTTGAGAGCCTAAAATATGTGTTCCCAGGCAGTCCATGTGGTTGCTGAGTTCAGGCAGAAAAATGCCATGATTTTATGATGGTGTTGGGTTCAAGAAGGGTCAAGCTTCAGAGACCGGGGCATGAACTAGCGCCCCATGAGAGGTTGGAAAGCACGAGATAAGAAAGAATGTTTTCTTCAACAAAACCTTGATGTGATTCTTACGATGTGACATTGGGACGGGAACAAAATATAAAACTAAGAGATTAAGAAAAAAAAGGGTGGAGGCATACCAGTAGGTGAGGTAGGTGAAGGAGCCGAAGAGCACGCCATAACCGCTCCACTTGCGAGGAAGGGCGAGCATGAGCGCGTACGACGCGAGGGTTAGGCCCCAGAAATTGAGGCTCGCTGCATTGGCGAAAGCACGCGATGGAGTGGAGATTTCGATCAGTGAAGCAAAATGCAAGATTGCAGATAACAGACTGCTGGCGGTCTAGCTGGCCTGTGGAAGGGAATGTCAGCAACTGGAACGTTGCAAAACCGACTAGCTGAATGCATTCCAGTCACTTGCAACGAGAACCACTGAAACGGGACGAGCGTATGCTGGTAGCTATGACAGACATCACACTTGCCGTGAAGGCCGCCATACGCCACCCAGCAGAGAGCCCCTCCGGCAGCAATGCTGTAGAGATGCTTCAATGTGGGACCCGGGAAGAAGCGCACGACCAGAGCCGCGGGGATGGACGAGAAGAGGCAGAGCAGGAGGGTGATCAGGGAGGGAGCCACTCCCAGCGACGCCGCTAGCTCCTCTGAGATCGACATGTCTGTCTAACCAAACCGGTTGCTGGGTAAACTAATATACGCGTGAACATGCATAAGTCTCGTGTTATTCTACTTCGGACACGATGAATACCTTAGTCCGAATATGCGTGAATCGAGTGCCTATGATAGCCCCATTACCCAACCAAGTTTACCTGGTTAGAGTGTGGTTGCTGAACAGGCCCTTCAAGGTAAAATGGCGGCACCTGACGCGGTGCTGTCGCCTTTGGCCGTTGCCCAAATCGCCGTGTCCAGAAGAGAACCGCCGGAAAGGTACGTTATGTAGTCCGCGTTGACGCTCCGTCACTTCCATAATGCTGTTACTAAACCCGGAATCTTAATCCTGTTACACCCTAACCCCTGTCATTCTTAAACCGCCTCGCAGAGTGCTCTCATGCGCGATCAATCTCCTTCAATGTTTCGTGGACGAGGATAGGAATCGCCACGTGGCACGGTCCGGTCAGCAATCGCAGCAGGTCGCACAGGGCGAAAATGGAAAACACCCACCTCCTGGTGTCACAACCGCTGAGGAACCCATTGATGCGGAAGCCACAGCCGGCAAGCGAAAGAAGAAGAGCAAGAAGATCGCTGGTAACACAGTTACCACCGACGGGGATAACTCTCCTGCGGAAGGATTGGCAGGGGAGCAAGGCTTCCGGTCCCCCGCGGAATCTGCGGGCATGTGGGGGGAATGGGGTTCCCAGGCGCGCCTACACGCACTGCGCGCCGTTTTCGAGTTCGCGCAGCTGTCCCTCCTCCGATCCATCCGCCCCGGACCTGCTGGCGCTGGCTCGGGCTCCAAACGAGCCAGGCCTGGCTCGGGAACGCCAGGCTCGGCAGAGAAGCTTGCTGGGGAGAAGGGGGGAAAGAGGCGGAAGAATCAGGCGGGAGGCAAAGCGGAGGGGGAAGGGATAGGGGGAGGGAAAGTAGAAGGCGATGGGGAAGGTAAGGGGGATGCGGGGAAGGGGAGGGACGGAGATTCGGCCCCTGCTTTCATGGATGCACGCTATTGGTTCGTTCTGTCTGCGTCTCTCTCGCTGCTGCAGCACCATCCTGGTTGGCTGGTCGTCTCGTCCAACCTCTTCCAGCCAATCACGGCGCTGCTCTCTGCAATGACTCAAGTCAATGCCCTTCACAGAATTCTGAATAAATCAGGACAAGCAGCACCAGCACCGGCAGCAGCAGCAGCAGCGGCGGCAGCAGGGGAGGTGCCATCTATAGGACGGAGCCTTCACGCCCTGCTCACTGTTCTCTTGATGCCGAGCCTGACAGGCAGGCTCGGCGCGTCGGATCTGAAATCTCTGGGAGCGCCAGGCGTGGGGTTCAAAGCGTCAAGCCCAGTGGCGTTCCATCCGAGCCTGGAGCACTGGGTCGGTCTGGTCCGAGCCTCCCTGCAGCTTCTTCAGAGCCTGCTATGGCTCGGAGGCAATAGTGAATCATCCGTAAAAGCATCATCACCAGGATCAGCATCAGCATCAGCGGCAGCAGGAGCAGCGGACGAGTGGGGGCGGGTGTGCAGTGTGTGTCTGCATGGGTTTGGCGTGTTCGCATCAAGCCACCCGCAGGGCAAGAAGGTGTTTGTTGCTGTGCTCTCTCGCCTGCTGCCCCTTGTGCTGCAGCTAAGGACACACCTTGTTCAGGGTCAGGGGCGGCTGGGGAAGGGGGGAGGAGAGTTGGGGGAGGACACGGTGGGTTTAGTCTTATCTGCAATGGACGTGATTGTGAAGGAGGCGTTGTTTGGACGCGTGCATGCAGAGGGGTATGTGTCCCAGTGCAGTGGTGTGGCTGTTGCTATGGCTGCTGGTGTGGGTGGTAGTATGGGTGGTGGTAAGGTTGGGGGAACGGGTGGGCAGAGAACAGGCAGCAGAGGAACACCTGAGAAAACACCTGGGGAGTCGAGACTTGGAAGGAAGGGAGGGAATGTTGGAGGGGCAGCAGAGGGTGAGGGTGAGGGAGATGGAGGTATGGAAGGGCTGGGAGAGGAAGGCAGGTTCGGCAGTTACCACCGGCAGTTCCTGGCGTTTCTCGAGGCTGGGATCAGGTCCGGAAACGTGCCGATCCTGCACAGCCTCGGGTGGATGTTTGGCATTTACTCTCGGAGTGTGGTAGAGATTGCACGAGAGAGAGTAGGCGAGGTGGGAGGGAGGGGGAAGAGGAGAAAAGCAGCAGTTCAGGGGGGGAAAGGAGGGGTGAGTGGTGATAGGGATGGAGGGGAGGGAGAAGGAGAGGAGAAGGCAGGGGAAAGGGGTGTGGAAGTGGGGGGAGGGAGAGGAGGAGGAGGAGGAGGAGGAGGAGGAGGGGGAGGGCAGGGAGGAGGTATGGGAGGAGTATTGGGTGCAGATGATCCGGAAGTGTCTCAGCTGTTGCAGTCGCGGTTCAATCTTTTTGCGCATCTGCTGGGGCCGCTGATAGGCGAACTGCGAGGCCAAGTGGTGGCGCTCACACAGGGGGGCGCGCAGGCAGAGCAGCAGCAGCACCAGCAGCAGCAGCAGCAGCAGCAGCAGCAGCACCACCACCACCACCACCACAAGCACCAGTGGTCCCAGCAGCACCGAAAGCAGCAGCAGCAGCACCAGGGCAAAGCAAGCCGAGGTGGTAACCAGTCGGCAGCAAGCAGTGCTGCGGATCCTGCCAGCCTGGCAGCTGTGCTACGTGGCACCAGGGCACTGGTGGACGCTGCCATAGAGGAGGGCATCTACGATGGGTTGTCAGACGTGAGTGACAGCAGCACCAGCAGCCGCGGCCACACCAGCAGCGGGCGAAGCAGAGGAAGGAGGGCAGGAGTAGAAGCAGGAGCAGGGGGAGAGGGAGGGGCGACGAGACTGGGTCTGCTGTTGCACTTGGCTGGGCTGGGCTGGCAGGGGAGGTGGGCAGTGCGTGGCGCATGTGGGACGTTGTACAGAAGCCTGGGATAGGTGCTACTGCTTCTGCTGTCGCCGGTGCTAGCGGTGATGGTGATGGGAGGCACGAAGGGGACGGAGCAGCAGCTCAGGTTTGGGCCGAGCTTCTCCAGCTGCTTTGGGGGCTGGTTCGGCTGGAGCCTAGGGTGGTGGTGCTCGTGGATGGCCTGCATGACGCCACGTGGCAGCTTGTGATTGGGGCTTGCACTGCGTGTGAGAAGGCACGATCGGAAGGGTTTGATGCAGGTGGTAACAAGCGGATGTCGGAGGAGCAGCGGGCAGCAGGGTGGGCGGCAGTGTGGGTGGCGGCAGTCTAGATTGCCAGTCAGCTGGTGGGGACGTGGAAAGATATGCGACAGGTGTGTGTGTGTGTGTGTATGTGTGCGTGCATGCGTGCGTGTGTGTGTGCGTGTGCATGCGTGCAAGCAAGCAGGCGTGCATGTGTGTGAGACACGCAACACCCCGTACATTTTGATTTGCCTTGTTCATCCCGACCCACCCTGTGTGTGGTTTGTCGCTACTCATCCCTCTCTCCCTAAGCAGCTGCTGCTGGTCCTATTAGCCGTTTTATCCTCCACCCAACCTCTTCACGCCCTGCCCTGTCTGGCCCTGCTCTTCCCTGTCCCTGTCCCTGTTCTCTTCTGCTGTTCTGTCACTGCACATCCCTCTGTTCCCATATACACCTAGTGGTGGCCATCCGAGCCATTCTCTCTTCCACCCTTGGCTCCAGGCGACCTCTTCTCGCGCTACCTTCTACCCTGCCCTCCCTGGTAGCATTGGAATCGCCTGCAGCAGTGGCAGCATCTGCGGCGCTCCTGTCGTCGCCTGACCTCCTCTCGGTGGTCCGGGAGGCTGCTGCTGCGGTCCCTCCAGGCCAGGTGCCGAGCCTGCTGCTTAGCTTCGGGGAGGAGCAGGTTATGCTGGTGGTTGGTTGGGAGGGTGACTCTGAGGGAGGGAGAAAGAAAGAGGAAATGGAGGGTGTGGGATGGGGCGAGGAGGGGAAACAGAAGGGGAGGAAGGCAAAGAAGGGGAAGGCTGACCAGGTGGTTTCTCAGGTGAAAACTCAGATGCAGGGAGCACAGGATAGGCTCACCTGGGCGGCTTCCAGCTTCGTTGCTACAGTGCTCCGCAGCCTGCCTGTTGCACTGGGAACCGCCATCCAGGTGGACGGCAACGTCTGTCGTCTAGTGCAGTCCCTTGGGCGGTCTGTGGTGGGCAAGTGGGTGGCTGCTGTGCTTGCAAGAACCAATTGGATGGATGGGAATGGGAATGGGAAGGACTCTACTGCCGACCTGGCTCTTACCCTTGTTCGCCGTGCGGCAGCAAGCATCGGGGCAGGCATTGAAATGTTTCTGGCTGCCCATGAGCTGCACCTGCGGTGTCTGTACAATGCACCTCCCTCAGAAGAGTCCAAAATGGGCCACCGCTTCAGCCTCTCGTTCCCGCTCCCGCTCGATCCTGCTGTAAGCATGCCAGGCTTGGCAGAAACTGGCTCGGCAGAGTTAGGTTCGGCAGGGACAGGTTCGGCAGGGGAGGTTGCTGGAGCTGCTGCTTTGGAGCAGCCTGCTTCCAGATGGCGGTTTGTGATTGGCTGGCTGAACCGAGTGATGAATGGAAAGGCAGAGGAGGAACAAGAGCAGCAGCAGGAGGAAGAGGATCAGCAAGGGGAGGAAAGCAGAGAGCTGCTTCGGCTGCGCTTCCTGACTCTCTCTGCTGCTACCACTGCCCTCTCCTCCCTCTCCCCGGTGCTGCCTCTGGGTGCGAGCAGTGCGGGTGGTAAGAGTGGCGGACTGTGGGGAGAGACGGAGGCAGCAGCAGAGGCGGGGAAGGGGAGGAAGAAGGTGAAGCGGGGAGGAGCAGAGGGAGCGCGGGGTGTGGGGGAAGATGGAGCGGTGGGGAGTGGTGTTGGTGCGCTGGCTGCTGCTGTGGCCCATGAGCTGTCGTTCGGGTGTGTGGGGGCGGGAGAGGGGCGGAGCCGGTGGGTGGTGATGGGGAGAGAAACAGGCGGGAAAGGGGACGCCGGAGCAGGAAGGAAGGAGGAAAAGCACGAGGGAAGCGATAGGTATCGGAGCAGGAGGGGGAGGCAGTGGGACGGAACAGTGGGCAGCATCAGCAGCGGCGGGGATCTCAACGCGGCGTACCTCTCCCTTGCTGCTTCCTCCGCTCTCCCCCTCTGGATCCCCGCTGCCCCTCGCCCCGCCGTGAGGGAGTTTGTGCTGCTGCTGCTCGCCCTCGCTGCTAGGGAGGTGCTTGGTGGTGCAGGAGGTGTTAAGGAGGTGGCGGGGGGTGCAGAAGGGAGGGCTGTGGCGGCGCTACGGAATCCTGTGTTCTTCGAGATTGAGGTGAGTGGCGTCTGGTTTGATGGGTCCCCTCTGTCCTCCCTTGCTGCCTCCTCTGCTCTCCCTCTCTGGATCCCCGCTGCCCCTCTGGTGGTTTGAGAGGGACGGCTGTGGCGGCTTTGAGGTCGTTTTTGAGGCGCCTCAAAATCGTCCCCGCTGCCCCTCTGGTGGTTTGAGAGGGACGGCTGTGGCGGCTCTGGCGGCGCTGCGGAATTCCGTGTTCTACGAGATTGAGGTGAGTGGCGTCTGGTTGGGATACGTGCTTCTGTTGAATGCACTGCTTCCATTCCATCTTTCTCACGCATCCCCTCACCTCACCCGAATCACTGCTCCTTCCTCCCTCCCCCCGGCCCACCCAAACTTCTCTCCCTGCTACCTGCTGCTCATAATTGTTAAGTAAACTTAGTAAACTTACTATTATTGAGTCCCGCGCAATCCCCTCCCCCAAAGGTATGTCATCCCTTTTATCTTTCACATCAATCATTTTCTTTCCCCCACACCCACATGTGCCCGCAGAATGTTCGTCACGTTTTGGCCAAGTCATTTGTGACTAATCTGCGGGCAGCTGTGAAGGGCAGCTTGAAACTCTCCACCACCTGCCCACCTTCTGCCCTAGCAGAAAGGTGCAAGGCTGGCTTGGTTTCCCTGCTGTCTGACCGAACAATTCCAGGCAATGAGCACGCAGGAAGAGAAGGACAAATGACCTCAGAGGTTAGTTCAAAAAAAAAGAAAGGAAATAAGAAAAAAGGGAAGGAAGGAGACGACTCCACTGCGGTCGGTGGTAGAGGTGATAGTAACGTGAGTGATACTAACGAGAAGAAGTTTTCAGAGAGTATGCTCGCCATGTTGGCTGATCAGGCAGCTGCTGAGCTGGCAGATTCAGTCCTCCATCTTGTTCAAATCCCTGATGCTGACTCAGCAGGCACAGATTCTGACTCATTAGAAGAGGAGGAGGATGGGGAGGAGGGTGGGAGAGAAGTGAGAGAGCAGAAGGGGAAGGGCAAAAGGGATAGTGAGGGGGAGTGGCAGGTAGATCCAGGGGAGGTAGATCTGGTGCTGGTGCTGCTGCAGCTGCTACAGGCGGTCCCCCCTGACTGCTGGACGGCTTCAGATGCGCTGCGATTGGTCGAATGCCTGGCTGGCGTTGAACGGTGCTTCATGGCGCCTCTGCTTCTCCCTTCTCCCTCACCTACATCTGCCTCTCATTACAGTCACATTCACACTCTATCAACCCACCAACAGCAGCAGCAGCGATCATTCTTCCCCTCCTTTTCCTCCTCTCCCTCCTCTCTCCTCATGCACTGTTCCCTTGCCTGCAGAATCACCCTTCTCCGTTTTCTCTCCCTCCACCAATCCCTCTCTCATCCCTCGCCTTCCGAACCAAGTTGCCCCGACCCTGGGTCTGGTCTGGTGCCGAAGCTGCTACCATGGCTGGTGGTAGGCTCGGTGGGAGCAGGTGCTGTGAAGCGATGGGAACAGCAGGAGGGACGGAAAGGGGAGGAGATGGCATGGGCTGGGGGGGCATTGCGGGAGGGTGGAGGGGCAGTGCGAGATGGGGGAGGAATGGGGGATGGGGAGGCATGGGAAGCGATGGAATGGGTTGGGGTGGCCATGGGGGGTGGGGAGGCATTGGGGGTTGAGGAATCATGGGAAGCGATGGTGGCGGCGAGTGGAGCAGCAGTGGGCATGGCAGTGCATGCAGTCATGATGGATGGTGGGGAGGAGGGGAGCAAGGAGAGGGGCGAGGAGGAAGGCAAGAATTCAGAAGGGAGGGAAGAAGCTATGGATGATGCAGATGATGCGGATGGTGCGGATGGTGTGGATGGTGCAGGTACAGATGTGGGTACTGCCATCGCCCGTCTGTCTCGCTCCCATCCCGAGACTGCCACAGCTCTCATCTCCTCTGTTGAGATCCTCGCCTGGGTCCCCCGCTGCAACCCCACTCCTACTGCTGCTGCATCAGCTGTAACAGCTGTAGCAACAGCAGCACCAGCATCTGTAGCACCAGCTGCTGCTGCTGCGGAGGCGTCTGCAGCGGCTGTAGCGGCGGCTGTGAGCTCGGGAGCGCTGTGGGAGATGGCAGCTGTAGCAGACGGATTGAGCCATGCTGGCGATGAGTCAGCAGCACCGGCTGTAGCGCGTGCTACAGTGGGTTCGGCTACAGCTGTTGGTGAGGTGGGCAGTGAAGGGTCATTGCTGGCACGATGGGGTGGTAAGATCCCTGCCACGTGGCGTGCTCTAATTGGCTGCCTGGAGCCTGCTGTTGAAGGGGCGTTGAGGGGGATGCTGGGGGAGAGTGAGAAGGGGAGAGAGGAGGGAGGAGGAGAAGGAGAGGAAAAGGAGGTGGGAGGAGAAGACATGGACGATGGTTTGGATTGGATGCCACTGCATGAACTGGGGTTTGATGTGGCTAAGGATGGTGGTTTGGATGATGTGCGTGGTGGGGATGTTGGTGGTGATGGGGATGGTATTGGTGATGTGAAGGGGATAGGTGGGGATAGGGTGGAGGAAGATGAGGAGGTGAGTGATAAAGAGGAGAGCGAGGAAGAGGAAAGTGAGGCTGAGGACGATGATGGTGAGGAGAATGAGAGTGAGGACAGTAAGGAAGAGAGTGAAGAAGAGGAGAGTGAGGACAGTAAGGAAGAGAGTGAAGAAGAGGAGAGTGAGGAAGAGAGTGAGGAAGAGAGTGAGGAAGAGAGTGAGGGGAGTGAGGAGAGTGAGGAGAGTGAGGAGGAGAGTGAGGAGGAGACTGGGGATGAGATGGAAGTGGATGGAGATGCAAGTGCCAGCAAGCGGGGGAAGAAGCCACGTCCCCAGTCACCTTCCAAGACAGAGAGAGGAGCAGCAGGAGGAGCAGGAGGAGAAGTGGGACGAAGAGGAGAAGGTGCAGAGTGGGAGGAGAGCTGGTTACGCAGTTACCACCTTCCAGACTCACAGAAACACGCCCTCCGTCGCCTCCTTACAAGCGCATCCGATTGTGTCACAGCAGCCCACCTGTTCTCTGCTGCCGCTGCTGCGCTGCATCTCAGGTGCGCCCTAGTCATGACCGAGGGGGATAAGGAACCGACCAGAGAAGGTGGAACGGAGAAGGCGGCACAGACGGCTCAAGAGGGAGGAAAAGGGCTAGGGAGAAGAAAAGAGAGGAGGGGAAAACGGGGTGCACAGGTGAAGGGAGAGGAGGAGGGAGGGGAGGAGCATGAGGAGGATAAAGAGAAGGAGCAAGAGGAGGAGGAGGAAGAGGAGCGGAGAGTTGTGGGAGGAGAGCAGCTAGAAGCACAGAAGAGGTACGTCCTGTCGCGTGCGTTTGTTGAGAGCGCCGTGCAGCCCAGGCTTGCGTCCGCCCTCTTCATTCTCCACCACGCCTCCCTGCTGCTGCGAGTGGATGCCCAAGCGGCACCTCCAACGCCCTCTTCTGAACTCGCCACAGCTGCCGCAGCTGCCGCAGCTGTCACAGCTGTCACAGCTGTCACAGCTGCTACAGCTGCTACAGCTGCTGCAGTGTCCACAGGAGTGGCGGCACCGGGACCGAAAGAAGCAGGTGGTGGTTCTGCCTCAGTCCCAGCTGTGCTACGCTCTGCAGCGCCTCTCCTCCTGGCGGTGCTGCAATTCACACAGGTCGCTGGCACGCGCATGCTTCGCTGCGTCTCTCCCCACCCCCCCGCCTCCGCCTTCCGGCGAATCGTGCGAGTCCACCTGGCGCTCCTCTCCGCCCTCTCCTTACAGTCACAGTCACTGTCACTTTCTGCAGGATCAGCAGCAGCGGAAGTAGAGGCAGCACAGCAAGTGGTGGCGTCGCTGCTGCAAGCCACAGACGGGGCGTTGAAGCAGTTTGTGCAGTGGGCGTCGCACGGGTGGGTGGCAGTGGTCTTCCGCACCTGCAGGCACGAGCTCGCCTTGCACGTGGAGGGGGGCGCTGGAGGAGGGTGGGCAGGGCTGGGAGAAGGGGAAAGGGGAGGCGAGAGGGGAGAGGAGAGAGGAGAGGCAAGGCTGCAGGCGAGGGCTGGGGCCAGCGGGCAAAGCACGTATATCAAGGGGAGTGCTGCTCATGCAGAAGGGGACCTCTCAACGGAGTTTGGCAGCTCAGCAGGATTGGAGAACGGTCCAATAGGGTTGGATGCGGTGGCAGTGCTGGCAGAGAAGCTCATTCACAGCTGCCCCAGCGGCCAGTCGCTGCACTTCCTTGCTGCCCGCTCGCCCCTCCTCGCCTCCCTACTCTTCAAAGCCATTACCTCCTACACACACTCTCAGTCCCTCCCTCACTCTCCCCCTCACACTCTCCCTCACACTCCCCTGCACACGCTCCCCCACACTCTCTCACCCTTCTCTTCTCTCTCCAGTCTCTATCCATCCTCCGACTCCTCCGCCTTTCACGTCCCCTCGTTACCCGCACTCGCTCCCTCACTCTTTCCTGGGCTCAACCTCTCACCCGCTCCTTCGATTACTCCCGCCAGTTTTTTCACCATCTGCCATCACAGCCTGTCAGCTCTCACGACTCTCGCTGCCCGGAGCGCAATTTTCCCTTTTCGGGCAGGCCACATCAGCCTGGGTCTCGCCTGCCCGAACCTCATTCTGCCCTCCATTGCAGCTTCTCCTGATTCGTCCGTTGGCATGGGCCTGGGCGAACGGGCGGCGTTGTTTGTTGGTTTCTGCCAGCTGCTTTGTGCTATCATTCGTCAGAGGAGCCGGTATGTGTGAATTGCTGCTCATACCAGCACGTGTTACGGTACTATCTCGTAGTGTTTTGCATGCAGCAGCCTCCCTACCCTTCTATCTCTTGTGAGCTTGATCTCAGCACTTGTCGCTTATAGACATCATCTAGGAGCCGTGCAGGATGCACACTCACAGCAACACCGTTATTTCAACGCATTTTGACGACATGGTAATGCACTCTAAAAAGTGCTCATGCACTCACTTACTCACTCACTCGGGGATATTCCCATCCTCATCGCGTCTTCTTCCTTCCCTTCCTTGCTTCCCACCCCACCCCACCCTTGCATGCCATGCATGGCAACAGCTATGTGCGATACAGCATGGCGCTCCTCGTTCAGTCCCTCCGCTGCATGCTCACCCTCCGCTCACCCTCCTCTCACCCTCCTCTCACCCTCCGCTCACCCTCCTCTCACCCTCCTCTCACCCTCCTCTCACCCTCCTCTCACCCTCCTCTCACCCTCCTCTCACCCTCCTCTCACCCTCCTCTCACCCTCCTCTCACCCTCCTCTCACCCTCCTCTCACCCTCCTCTCACCCTCCTCTCACCCTCCTCTCACCCTCCTCTCACCCTCCTCTCACCCTCCTCTCACCCTCCTCTCACCCTCCTCTCACCCTCCTCTCACCCTCCTCTCACCCTCCTCTCACCCTCCTCTCACCCTCCTCTCACCCTCCTCTCACCCTCCTCTCACCCTCCTCTCACCCTCCTCTCACCCTCCTCTCACCCTCCTCTCACCCTCCTCTCACCCTCCTCTCACCCTCCTCTCACCCTCCTCTCACCCTCCTCTCACCCTCCTCTCACCCTCCTCTCACCCTCCTCTCACCCTCCTCTCACCCTCCTCTCACCCTCCTCTCACCCTCCTCTCACCCTCCTCTCACCCTCCTCTCGCCCTCCTCTCACCCTCCTCTCACCCTCCTCTCACCCTCCTCTCACCCTCCTCTCACCCTCCTCTCACCCTCCTCTCACCCTCCTCTCACCCTCCTCTCACCCTCCTCTCACCCTCCTCTCACCCTCCTCTCACCCTCCTCTCACCCTCCTCTCACCCTCCTCTCACCCTCCTCTCACCCTCCTCTCACCCTCCTCTCACCCTCCTCTCACCCTCCTCTCACCCTCCTCTCACCCTCCTCTCACCCTCCTCTCACCCTCCTCTCACCCTCCTCTCACCCTCCTCTCACCCTCCTCTCACCCTCCTCTCACCCTCCTCTCACCCTCCTCTCACCCTCCTCTCACCCTCCTCTCACCCTCCTCTCACCCTCCTCTCACCCTCCTCTCACCCTCCTCTCACCCTCCTCTCACCCTCCTCTCACCCTCCTCTCACCCTCCTCTCACCCTCCTCTCACCCTCCTCTCACCCTCCTCTCACCCTCCTCTCACCCTCCTCTCACCCTCCTCTCACCCTCCTCTCACCCTCCTCTCACCCTCCTCTCACCCTCCTCTCACCCTCCTCTCACCCTCCTCTCACCCTCCTCTCACCCTCCTCTCACCCTCCTCTCACCCTCCTCTCACCCTCCTCTCACCCTCCTCTCACCCTCCTCTCACCCTCCTCTCGCCCCCCTCTCGCCCTCCTCTCGCCCTCCTCTCGCCCTCCTCTCGCCCTCCTCTCACCCTCCTCTCACCCTCCTCTCACCCTCCTCTCACCCTCCTCTCACCCTCCTCTCACCCTCCTCTCACCCTCCTCTCACCCTCCTCTCACCCTCCTCTCACCCTCCTCTCACCCTCCTCTCACCCTCCTCTCACCCTCCTCTCACCCTCCTCTCACCCTCCTCTCACCCTCCTCTCACCCTCCTCTCACCCTCCTCTCACCCTCCTCTCACCCTCCTCTCACCCTCCTCTCACCCTCCTCTCGCCCTCCTCTCGCCCTCCTCTCGCCCTCCTCTCGCCCTCCTCTCACCCTCCTCTCACCCTCCTCTCACCCTCCTCTCACCCTCCTCTCACCCTCCTCTCACCCTCCTCTCACCCTCCTCTCACCCTCCTCTCACCCTCCTCTCACCCACCTCTCACCCACCTCTCACCCTCCTCTCACCCTCCTCTCACCCTCCTCTCACCCTCCTCTCACCCTCCTCTCACCCTCCTCTCACCCTCCTCTCACCCTCCTCTCACCCTCCTCTCACCCTCCTCTCACCCTCCTCTCACCCTCCTCTCACCCTCCTCTCACCCTCCTCTCACCCTCCTCTCACCCTCCTCTCACCCTCCTCTCACCCTCCTCTCACCCTCCTCTCACCCTCCTCTCACCCTCCTCTCACCCTCCTCTCACCCTCCTCTCACCCTCCTCTCACCCTCCTCTCACCCTCCTCTCACCCTCCTCTCACCCTCCTCTCACCCTCCTCTCACCCTCCTCTCACCTCCTCTCACCCTCCTCTCACCCTCCTCTCACCCTCCTCTCACCCTCCTCTCACCCTCCTCTCACCCTCCTCTCACCCTCCTCTCACCCTCCTCTCACCCTCCTCTCACCCTCCTCTCACCCTCCTCTCACCCTCCTCTCACCCTCCTCTCACCCTCCTCTCACCCTCCTCTCACCCTCCTCTCACCCTCCTCTCACCCTCCGCTCACCCTCCGCTCACCCTCCGCTCACCCTCCGCTCACCCTCCGCTCACCCTCCGCTCACCCTCCGCTCACCCTCCTCTCACCCTCCTCTCACCCTCCTCTCACCCTCCTCTCACCCTCCTCTCACCCTCCTCTCACCCTCCTCTCACCCTCCTCTCACCCTCCGCTCACCCTCCGCTCACCCTCCGCTCACCCTCCGCTCACCCTCCGCTCACCCTCCGCTCACCCTCCGCTCACCCTCCTCTCACCCTCCTCTCACCCTCCTCTCACCCTCCTCTCACCCTCCTCTCACCCTCCTCTCACCCTCCTCTCACCCTCCTCTCGCCCTCCTCTCGCCCTCCTCTCACCCTCCTCTCACCCTCCTCTCGCCCTCCTCTCGCCCTCCTCTCGCCCTCCTCTCACCCTCCTCTCACCCTCCTCTCACCCTCCTCTCGCCCTCCTCTCGCCCTCCTCTCGCCCTCCTCTCGCCCTCCTCTCGCCCTCCTCTCACCCTCCTCTCACCCTCCTCTCGCCCTCCTCTCGCCCTCCTCTCACCCTCCTCTCACCCTCCTCTCGCCCTCCTCTCGCCCTCCTCTCGCCCTCCTCTCACCCTCCTCTCGCCCTCCTCTCGCCCTCCTCTCACCCTCCTCTCACCCTCCTCTCACCCTCCTCTCACCCTCCTCTCACCCTCCTCTCACCCTCCTCTCTCGCCCTCCTCTCACCCTCCTCTCACCCTCCTCTCGCCCTCCTCTCGCCCTCCTCTCGCCCTCCTCTCGCCCTCCTCTCACCCTCCTCTCACCCTCCTCTCACCCTCCTCTCACCCTCCTCTCACCCTCCTCTCGCCCTCCTCTCGCCCTCCTCTCACCCTCCTCTCGCCCTCCTCTCGCCCTCCTCTCGCCCTCCTCTCGCCCTCCTCTCGCCCTCCTCTCGCCCTCCTCTCACCCTCCTCTCACCCTCCTCTCACCCTCCTCTCACCCTCCTCTCGCCCTCCTCTCGCCCTCCTCTCGCCCTCCTCTCACCCTCCTCTCACCCTCCTCTCACCCTCCTCTCACCCTCCTCTCACCCTCCTCTCACCCTCCTCTCACCCTCCTCTCACCCTCCTCTCACCCTCCTCTCACCCTCCTCTCACCCTCCTCTCACCCTCCTCTCACCCTCCTCTCACCCTCCTCTCGCCCTCCTCTCGCCCTCCTCTCGCCCTCCTCTCGCCCTCCTCTCGCCCTCCTCTCGCCCTCCTCTCACCCTCCTCTCACCCTCCTCTCACCCTCCTCTCACCCTCCTCTCACCCTCCTCTCACCCTCCTCTCACCCTCCTCTCACCCTCCTCTCACCCTCCTCTCACCCTCCTCTCACCCTCCTCTCACCCTCCTCTCACCCTCCTCTCACCCTCCTCTCACCCTCCTCTCACCCTCCTCTCACCCTCCTCTCACCCTCCTCTCACCCTCCTCTCACCCTCCTCTCACCCTCCTCTCACCCTCCTCTCACCCTCCTCTCACCTCCTCTCACCCTCCTCTCACCCTCCTCTCACCCTCCTCTCACCCTCCTCTCACCCTCCTCTCACCCTCCTCTCACCCTCCTCTCACCCTCCTCTCACCCTCCTCTCACCCTCCTCTCACCCTCCTCTCACCCTCCTCTCACCCTCCTCTCACCCTCCTCTCACCCTCCTCTCACCCTCCGCTCACCCTCCGCTCACCCTCCGCTCACCCTCCGCTCACCCTCCTCTCACCCTCCTCTCACCCTCCTCTCACCCTCCTCTCACCCTCCTCTCACCCTCCTCTCACCCTCCTCTCACCCTCCTCTCACCCTCCTCTCGCCCTCCTCTCGCCCTCCTCTCGCCCTCCTCTCGCCCTCCTCTCGCCCTCCTCTCGCCCTCCTCTCGCCCTCCTCTCAGCCCTCCTCTCACCCTCCTCTCACCCTCCTCTCACCCTCCTCTCACCCTCCTCTCACCCTCCTCTCACCCTCCTCTCACCCTCCTCTCACCCTCCTCTCACCCTCCTCTCACCCTCCTCTCACCCTCCTCTCACCCTCCTCTCACCCTCCTCTCACCCTCCTCTCACCCTCCTCTCACCCTCCTCTCACCCTCCTCTCACCCTCCTCTCACCCTCCTCTCACCCTCCTCTCGCCCTCCTCTCGCCCTCCTCTCGCCCTCCTCTCGCCCTCCTCTCACCCTCCTCTCACCCTCCTCTCACCCTCCTCTCACCCTCCTCTCACCCTCCTCTCACCCTCCTCTCACCCTCCTCTCACCCTCCTCTCACCCTCCTCTCACCCTCCTCTCACCCTCCTCTCACCCTCCTCTCACCCTCCTCTCGCCCTCCTCTCGCCCTCCTCTCGCCCTCCTCTCGCCCTCCTCTCGCCCTCCTCTCGCCCTCCTCTCGCCCTCCTCTCGCCCTCCTCTCGCCCTCCTCTCGCCCTCCTCTCGCCCTCCTCTCGCCCTCCTCTCGCCCTCCTCTCGCCCTCCTCTCGC